TACTTTCTCCGGCCTCATTAACCACGGTCCCAAATGCATACACAATTCGAATGCAACGTTTGAATGCCATATCTGCCATAACATTTATCACTCGAAAAGGTATCTCCGTTTTCATATTAAATCAGTCCATGTTCTTGAAATAGAGAAAAAGTTCAAATGTGAAATGTGTGGAAAGGGCTTCCATCTCATGGCTAAATATGAAGATCACAGGAACCGACAGCACTTCAACTTGGATATTCGCAACTTTATGTGCTCCACATGCGGACGAGCATTTACAACAAAACAATGTCTATGGCAACACGAACTCATCCATACCGGAGAGCGACCTTTAAAATGTAAATTTGAAGAATGCAATAAAACTTTTAGAACTCATTCGGCCAAATATGCACATCTAAAAATGCATCGAGGACAGAAGATGTTACAGTGTAAAACCAATGTACATGGTATACCTAAATAATCATTCCAGTTTAATTAAAACAATAGAAATACCAATCAAGACTCAAATTTGTTGCGTTTTTCATTGAGACAAATAAATATTATTAAAATAATAGAAAGCCATTGTATTTTGTATGGATTTTCAAACTATATGGAAAGCGTTTTTTTATTACTTTTCCGCACACGAAGTGTGAAGGAAAGTATAGCGATCGTCGTGAAAATTTTAAATTTTCGTTGTATACACGATAACTTACAAAATAGTAGAGCGATTTTGCTTAAATTTGGCCAGGAGGTAGCTTATGTTAATATCTTGGAGGTATCAGAAGTTGGATCAAATTGAGCCTGTCCATCTGGTACTTTTGCTACATCATGGATTTTCATCCAAGGGTCCCCCCTTGGATTTTTTCGGGAAAAATGTCTTTTTCCACCACAAAAAAATGCATTTTTTGGTTATTTCTTAGTCTTCCTCGCGATTTTTTCGTGGTAAACCGTGTTAAACGATGTTTTACGGTGGCCGACCATGATGGTCTGTTTTTAATTACTTTTTTCGCTTCAAAATGCATTTTCTGGATATTGCTGGCTGTTTTTATATGTTAGCCGTGTTAAATGGTGTTCTCACCACGATGGACGATTTTGATGTCCTTTTTACTGTTTCGAAAAACCCACGAAAATTCCTTGTATACAAGGAACGATAACTTTCGAATCTCTTCAGCGATTTTGTTTAAATTTTGCAACGAGGTGTCTTATATAATCTGGTACTTTTGGTATATCATGGAATTTCACCCAAGGGTCCCCCCTTGGATTTTTCGATCGGAAAAAAAATTTCTATAATTTTTTTTTTACTGTTTTTACACGATTTTCCCATGGTAAGTGATGTTAAATGGTGTTATAACACGATGGTCGACCACGATGGACTTCATACCATTTTTACATAGTATAGTCAATATGGGTATCATATGAAAGGTCTTTGAACGGAGATGAACATGAACACCATCCCGGTCCATCACGGTTATGTTAACACCACTTAACAGCATTTTTTATATGAATAGTTGACATGGGTGTCATATGAAATGGGCGTGGACATGGACACTATATCCGTCCATTATGGTGACCATGATGGACTTCATACCATTTCTACATAAGTATAGTCAATATGGGTATCATATGAAAGGTCTTGGAATGATGATGAACATAAATACCATCCGGGTCCTTCATAGTTATGGTAACATCACTTAACATCCTCGTTCAAATATTTCAAATAATCGCCCATTTTAACAAACCCGACTGACTTTCTCAAATGACCCAAATCCAATGAAACATACAACCATATGATTGAAAAGAAAAATTCAAAGCCATACTGATCTCCATAAAAATCCAAACATACTTTAAAATAAGAACAATTGCAACATTCTATCCAAGTGATCTATATTTTACATTCTACCGAAAATGTGCGGAAAAGTTCGTTTTACATGGTAAAACATTTTATTTTTAAAATAAATCTTCATGCAAAAGTAATAAAAACAAAAAATCCACTTGACATTCTCAGTCGTTCGAGAAATAATGGAATAGCAACACATGTGAATAAGCATTTATTAATGAACCAAATTTAAAGCAAACACAAATACAAGAGATAAACCACAAAATCACGAACCATGCTTGTATGAAAGTTTTGATTGATATTTTCGATTTCCTGCATCTAACATGGTATAGCTTAATTAAAGATTTGCGTATATATATTTATATGAACGAATGCAGTATCTTAATAATGTATTACATTATGATGAGTAAGTATTTGATGCTTCCGAGATGAGAAAAATAAATTCATTTAGCACAGTCATTAGTCGTTTATGATTTTTACTTTGAAACTTTATAATTTCAGTCGATAACATATGTACGGTATTTTGATTCCGATTTTTTGATCCGGCATCTTTGAATGCAAATCTTGCCAAAAGCCGACAATCATCATCTCGTCAGATTCTTTATAAAATTTTCTTAGTATGTATATTAACAAGAAATCCATACACAAAGTAATGGTCAGATTTACTTTTTCGATATATTTTCAATATTGTTATTGTCCATTATATTGATTCTCATATTATGTTGGAATTTTTTTTATCTTAATAACGTTATTATAAAGTGATTTTATGAATAGAATATCTTCAGGTTTCAATCGATAATCCCACATCATCATTTCATTTTATTGTTTAAAGCATATTGAATGTATTTTTTATAATAAATTATCATTTAGGTTACATTTTACACACAAATGATAATTTGGCCCATAATATTTGCTATACATATCCTATCTTGATGACAAAAGACATTCAGACATTTTTGGGTGAGACAGAGAGTTTGGAAGAACTGATCGCTCAAGCTGAATCCATTCTATTGTGAGACGCTCATTTACGTCCATTATTCTTAATTTATTGTAATAATTTATACACAGCTTGTGTAACGCAGGAAACATTCAATCATAATGATAATAATGCTAGAGATGTAATCGCTTCAGTCAACGGCTTCAGCAACTAATTAAACTACAAATGACTAGTTTGTAGTCATCTTTGGTCCCCGGTGGATAAAATAAAAAAAAGTCTCTGAAATGAATTTGGAATCGTTTGGAATCGAACGACAAGGAAATTTTCTAAACTTATCATTACTGATATGTCACTTGTTTGCGGGTGGCAATTTCAGATCAGTCAACATTCTATACCATCCCAATGCAATCGACAATCGTCTTTTAGTTTCAATCGATTCGGCTTATTCTTCCCCAATTCCAAAGACTACACAAGATATCTCCACCAACGAAACAATTCCGATTGCACATCGAAGCAAACGAACTGATAAGATTCTTCAATTGATATTCCTACCACCAGATCAACTGATCGAACAGTTCAATCGAATTGAGAAAATGCTCGCATTTTATCGCATTTTTATATTTACAACACCTGTTCAACTAGATTTGGAGCAAATCAAATCTATTGAAAGCGCCAACCCAACTTGCTGAGTTTTCACGATGGGTGTCTGAGTTGATCTAGTGTGCGAAATAAATACTTGAAAAAATCGTATACATGCAGGCTAGTGAAGCCATAGCCAGCTCTCCTGTAATGCAAATGTCAATCTGAGGACGGGTTTCGATGTGACCCGACACCAGCTACAGCTTGGGCATATCGGCACCGGAATCTGTTGGGGTCAAAAAAGTTTCCGTACACACGGACGCACATCCAAATCAATACTTTCATAGAAAACCATGGTCAAACTGCCAATGCCCATAACTTTTTCGTTTTTGGACCAATCGGAGCGCTTGGACCGGCGTTAGAAAGGTGGCGAGGTGAAGCTACTCTTGAACACCTCAGACTAGCCCCTGGGTACACCTTTTGTGGGATATGGATATAGAATTGAAAATTTATCGAAATTTTGAAACCACTATATTTTTGCCTAGACCACACTTTAGGCATGATGGATATGGTGTTTCCGACTATTTGGGCCAAGACCTTTCGAATGGTACCTAACATGCCGGGGCTCAAATGGTGTCCTGAGAAAATAGCATATTTACTGTAAGGGAGAGTCGGGTCAGTTGGGACGGGCTAGCCTTGGAAGTAAGAACTTTCATTTGGATAAAGATTTTTCAAAGAATATGGTACCGTTGGAAAG